GATTTTTTTTTGTTGTTGGATCAAAATTTCAGAAATTACTTGAGATAATGCCGGAAGCAGTTAGATGTAAACATGAACAAATCAATGTATGCTTTTGTTTTTCAGTCAATTTGCATGTAACTGCCATTCAGTTACATCTTAGCAGTAACATTTCCAGTCAAAAGATTAAAAAAAGACACCCTTTTTGTTGAGCAATCAACTGTTTTGCAGCAGATTATGTGATTTGATACGGACAGTTAGAGAGAGGGAACAAACAAAATCAAAAGTGAAAGGAAGATCGAAGAAAAAAATTCCCCAAAACATTTACGATTGAAAATTCCCTATCAGGTCAAATAAACAGAGGTGGAGAGAAAATAAATGAGAAAACGAAGGGCAAAGGAGTCATTGGTTTTGATTTCAGCCCAGATGAAGGGATTCAATCACAGAGACAGACAGACAGACAGACATGAGGAAACAATAGCAGTCTTTGTTCCCTTCATTCACCCCGATCTGATCTCAAAACACAGGCCATGTTATTACATTCACTCTACGTGTCTGTGGCAGTAATTAAATCAACCCTCATTTAACCCCAATGCATGTGAATGCACACTAAAACTGAAATATCCCTAACTGGAATGCACTGAAGCGACATGATTTAGCATGTAGGAAATACTGCATCATACTACAAAGGCTATTTTATTATAACCAGCCATTTTAACGCATGAGGCGATTAAATAAATCATTTTTAATAGAAAAATAAAGCGTCTTACCCATGAAAGCGAAGAGTGCATGCGTCCATAGCAAACAGATCTCGTTTAAGCTCGAAGTATAGGCCATACTAGCTTTAAACGATTAAATGCGCTACGCTGTAGCGTCAGTATCGTTATTTATACACAATATCTGAGCTTGCGAGTATTACCAGAGACAGCAGCTGCTCAACATGTCCCTTTTTTCTACTCCCGTCTTAACAAAACACTGATGTTACAGCCAAACGATCTTCTTATATACACGGCAGTAAGATATGCACACTAAAATAATCGATAAGATCGAATAAAAACGAAATTTCCCCTCACTAAAAACCAAAGTGAGCGAAATCACAATCAGCCTTCCCAACAAAGGACTCGATTATGCTAACAGGCTAATGCTAATGTCAACCTACACCGCTACTCTAACCTACTAACATCAACTCATAGATTCATCGAATGAACCTCGGAGGCCCAACGCACACTTATCTAGTTAGTAAAGCAGCTAAATCCTTTCCGACGTCCATCGCTGATAGATTTGGAGATGCAATGAGGCCTGAGACGAGATCAACACTAATCTATCTATCGCTCATTCCGAGAGTTTAAAAGTGTTAAACAAGCCTAACTCCAGACACATATAGCCACACGCTGATCTACAGCATGATGGCACGAGCTGAAGTCTGGCCGAATCAAATACTGGAAATAAAACTAAATAAAACTGCTCTGACTGTAATCCACACGCCGAGTGTCGGCCTTTCTGGTCGGTTGTGTGTGTTGTTACAGCCGGGTACTTCCCCTCACTTCCCCCTCTAACCAATAGTATCTCCCTCCGTCTCGCTCCTCCTCCTCTCTCTCTCTCTCAATCACATAAATGCTTTCTTTCTCTCTTTCTTTCTTTCTTTCTCTCTTTCTCTCTTTCTTTCTTGTTTTTGAAAGAAGTCTCTTAGCAAGGTTGCATTCTTTATGATACTTCACAAGCAATAAAAAAAATAGCTTATCAAATAAAATAAAATAAATAATTATAAAAGTCTCACGATTTATTTCCAGAACATGATGGGATACACTAAGCCTCGGACAGCGCTCCGGAGCGGTATTCAAGATAGTGTGGATTTAGTACCGGAGTGACATGTAACAGTTTGTGTGGTGTGAGAGTCAATGTAGTGAGCGCGTGACCTCTGGTGGTGAGTGAACGGAAGTTCATGGACTGGATTCGTGACAATTACTCTAAACTAATTTTGTAAAGCGACCTTGGGCTTTGGAAAGGCGCTAGAAAATTATCATTTGCTCAAATATGCAATAAAACAGTATTATTGTTAAAAATAATTGTACAAAATAATATAACTGTTTTCTATTTGAATATATGTGACCCACAAAACCAGTCATAAGGGTACATTTTTTGAAGTTGAGATTTATACATGATCTGAATGCTGTATAAATATGCTTTCCATTGATGTATGGTTTGTTATGATAGGACAATATTTGGTCGAGATACAACTATTTGAACATCTGGAATCTGAGGGTGCAAAAAAATCAAAATATTGAGAAAATCTCCGTTAAAGTTGTCCAAATGAAGTTCTTAGCAATGCATATTACTAATCAAAAATTAAGTTTTGAGATATTTACGGTAGGAAATTTACAAAATATTTTCATGGAACATGATCTTTACTGAATATCCTAATGAGTTTTGGCATAAAAGAAAAATCGATCATTTTGACCCATACAATGTATTTTTGGCTATTGCTACAAATATACCCCAGCGACTTAAGACTGCTTTTGTGCTCCAGGGTCACATATGCTGAAATGTTTACATTTATTCCTTTTGTAACATTGTCTTTACGGTGACTTTTCCATTTAATGCATCACTGCTGAATAAAAGTAGCAATTTCTTTAAAAAAAAAAAAGCACTTAGCCCAAACTTGGATGAATGATAGTGTATCAAGGTTTACACACACCCACAAACAAGCAGCACAACAGTTTTCAATATTAATAATAATAATAATACGTGTTTCTTCATCAGCAAATCATCATGTTAGAATGATTTCTGAAAGATCACGTGATAACAACTACCTTACTAACTATTAATAAGCAGCAAATTAGTAGTTTATCAAGGCAAAGGTCAAAGTTAATAGTAAGAATTGATCCCCAAACTAATGTGTGACCGAAAACAATATATTTATATAATTCAAATTCAACATAAATCAAAGCAAAGGATTTTCTGCAGTGTTGCCACTAAATGCATCATTTGTTGTGTTGTGATGGAAATAACATCAATACTGAGAAGTAAATGATTTTCATACAATAAATAATTATGCTTATTTTACTCATATTGTTGTGTTTTTACATTTATTCAGTAAGCAGATGCTTTTATCCAAAGCAAATTACAAATGAAGAATGCAACAATTAAATTCCATTGTAATTTAGTTCAATTTAATTGAATTTATTAATAATTGAATTCTTTGTAATTAAAATGAAGCTATAATACAAGAAGTGCTAGCAATACAAAGTTTCAAATATTGTCTAGAATTGGACAAGCTATATGAAGGAGGTATATGCATAGATAGAGAGAGAAGATCATTCCACCGGCAAGGAACAGTGAAAGGAAATGTTCTGGAAAGTGAGTCTGAACAAAAGTAAAATAATAATACCTAAAAGTAGCAAAACTGAAATTAGACATGCAACATGAATTTTTATAAGTATAAAAAGAAGCAATTCAACCTTTACTCTAAGCTGCTGGAAGATTGTTATTTGTTAATAATAAGAATAATTTTTTTAATTGAAATCAAAACATATTTTTTCTTATTGTTATGGAAGATTGCAGGGTTTATTATAATGATTTATATGTGCACTGTTACGGAGGAGGCTCCCGTACCACCTCCTCCGCACCACCAGAGGGAACTGTCCCCAGAGTATTAGCGATCTTCCATTCGGACTCCATTTCCCATCATCCCACTTACCTGGGCCTGATTACACAATCCCACCTGCATCTCATTTACACACACACATATAAGCCACACCATTTCACGAACTCTTTGCGAAGTCTTGATTTGCCCCGGCTGTCATTTCCGAGCGTTATACCCGTGTTTTGTTTTCTGTGCTTTGATCTTGGACTGTTTCCTGTTTCTCTGATTGTTATCTGCCTGCCC